CTGAATTTAAATCTGATTTGAGATTCAAATTCAGATTCCCAAGAACTTTTGAAAACCCATACACAATCAAACCGAATGAAATTGAGCATATTTTTTTTTAAATGCACATATATACGTCATGAAGCAAAAGTAGCACAACTTTTTTTTGCGCGTATATGCGTCACTGACAGGGAAGAGATTAAAATACTTTAACTTTAGCTTCTTAAATTTTTTAGCAGACTATTTTATTAACAACCTGCTTACAATGTGGAAAAAGAAAAATAGAAAACGATAACACAGCATAATTCTTTTACCTCTTTGAGTGTATAATTAACACTTTTAACCTTAATAAATTATGTTAATTTAATATTAACTTAACTTTTAGTTAAGGTAATTTTTGTTTATGTAACTTTTAATGTAACAAAATTAATTTTATAGACCATTAACTTTGAACGTAACATAATTAAATTAACTTATCCAACATTAGTATTTTCTAAGCGATATTAAAAAGGAAAAGTGTTTATGAACTTAATTATACAGAAAGATTTAATGCATCTCTTTACTAAGATTATAAATAGCTAGGAATAAAGATATATTCAGTATTACAAGGAGAATATATACTTTTCCTGTCTCATAAAACTGATCTACAATGTGCTCTTTGCATTCTGTTTCTTGTCTTCTGTCTTTTCTGGCTTAAAGCTTAAGATTTGAGTCAGAAAAAGATAAAGAGAGAGAAGCAGGAAGCAAAGAGCATATTGTAGATCAGGCTTTATTCATAATGTTTCGCATCGTAGACAATGCGTACTGTCATAGTTTCCCTAATTAGCAAAATTTATATATACATTAAATACATACAATCATTAAATAAATACTTTCTACTTTGATTCGATATTAATTCCTCGTATGATATAAAATAAAAATATGAAATATATAAAACTAATATATAAAACCTAATATGTGAAAGCTAATATGTATAAGAACAAGACAAAACTTTTTCTTTCTTGAAGATATCAGGAACACAAAATTTTAGAAAATTTATGAATAATTTCATAAATTAATGCATGATTTTGCTAAGATCAATCCTGGTGCAATCGCGAAAGCGGGTTTAAGCTTATAACGGAACGTAAACGTACTATTGTATAGAATCGCAAATTTTTATTACATTAGATCAGAATTTACGTTGTATTGACATTTGTAATAATCCTCTTGCGTTACCTGTTAAATTTAACACGCTGATATAGCACAGTACTCAAAGCAGTTTGCGGTGTTTATCTTTAATCGATTCCTAATCAAACGTGTTTGATTGGTGCTTGATCAAACGACTAATAGAATTAATTCAATATGCATATTAACGCGATAAACGCGTTAATATTTATAATTTACGATTTCGTTTATCGCATTTTAAAGCAACCTTGTAATTTTAGATTGGTAATATCTATGATTCACATATTTTCAGCAATATTTCATGATGGAATATATCTTCCTTGTATGATAAGTTATTTAGAGTCATAAATAATGTATGAATTATTCAAGACACATTAACTTTGCATAAATATATATCGTCAAAGACTAAATTTGACTTCATAAATCGTCAGTAAAAGTGAATTTGCGGCGATTAGACTCGAAAAGGCATTTTCAGGTTGTAATATGCGAAATACAGATGCATTTCTTTTATATCTGAAACATATTTGAGTAAAAACGATATACATACTAGCCAATTGTACTGTTTATTTTATTCTGGAAATCGGAAAAAGTGTTTAACTAACAAGAAGAATACTTTTGATCGGATACTAATGCTTTTGTTTATTTGTGTACTTTCGTGTACTGAGAAAAGCTGGTAAATTAAATTAATCTGTCAATAGTCTGTATTACAGCTGTGACTATGAAACTCGCATATAAGTAATGTAAAAAAGAAAATACGGCGAATGTCGCCGACGGATTTTAATGTGCAGTCTTACGTTAAAATTTAAATCTCTAATTTAAAGTAATTGTATAAAAAATTACTAGGTGCCGTATTTTCAGTGACACATCAAGAGAGCTACTCATAAATTTATTAAACAGAATTATGTTTCTATATATTTATTTCACTATTAATATCACTGTTAGTTTTAAGCGAAATTGAGATAAATATATACAAAGTGTCCGGTAACTTACGGAGAAGCCGCGGTATACAAATAAATTAGGTTTTAAACACAATAAAAAACTTCTCTATCATTTTATGAACAATCACGTAAAATTTTGAGTTCTTTCTCCAAGAAGATTCGTGAATAATCATGATACGGTTGTGATGACAACGTTTGTCGCTGTATGCTCGCATAGTAGGTCAAACCGAACAAAAAAGTCCTCTACCATTTTCCAAATAACTACGTAGATTCTTAGTTATTAATTAAAACAGTTTGGTACATCGCGCATAACAGTACACCAAACTTGTTTAATTAATAACCTAACAACTACTAATAACTAAACATTTATGTGGTTATTTGGAAAATAGTAGAGGACTTTTTGTTCAGTTTGACTTAATATACAAGGATACAATGGCAGACGTCGCCATCACAACTCATCTACTGTATGACGCGTGATTATTCACAAATTCTCTTTGATTAAAAACTTAAAATTTTACATAGTTGTTCACAAAATAGTGGAGGAATTTTTTATTCAGTTTGATCTAGTTCATCTGTATATCGCGGTTCCTTTGTGAGTTACCGGATACCCTGTATACACATCATATTGCAAATACGAAAAACCTATTATTTTGTTATTTTTCTGATATTTTATTTATATATCTGCTTACACAATAAAAACCTACAGATAATAAAAAGAAGTATTTATAGATAGATATACAAACTTTTTTAACAGACATGTAACAGACGTTTAAATAAAATAGAACGTCTTTTGTGGACGTCTTTTAAAATTGCTTTTAGAAGTTTATGTTATCTGTGTGTGTGTATATATATACACAGATACTTAATTATATATAAATTATATATAAATTATATATGAATTCTATATAAAATCATATATAATCATATATAATCTCACACGAAAAAAAATAATATTGAATGAAAAAGAAAACAAACAATATTTTATTCAATTAAACGTCGACATCTTATATTGCCAGAAGCATAAACATTTAATTCAATTGTATTTGTGTAATAGTATTTTTCATTATGGACATATATAAAAAGTGTTCCAGACTCTTCTTCGCAATTTTTGTAGGAACGTGGAATGGATTAAGATGAACATAAAAATTCTATACTATTTTGCAATATTCGCAATAAATCTCGAGATTAATTGAAGAAGATTGATGATTAATTACGCACGATATGGTAGATGAGTTGTAGTGACGCCGTCTGCCGTTGTATACTTATACATATACATACACTTATATATATACATATACATATACATATACATATAAATATACATATACTTATACATTAAGTCAAACTGAACAAAAAACTTCTACTATTTTGTAAATGACTACATATATTTTTAGATATTAATTAGAGAAAATTTGTACAATATTATTGCGTACAATAATATGTAACAATTTTTCTTCATTAATAATTAAAAATCTATGTGATTATTTCTAAAATGATAAAGAGCTTTTTGTTCAATTTGACTTAATATATAACCACACAACAGCACACAACAGCATTACAACTCAGTTACCATATCGCACCCGTGATCATCCACCAATCTTTCTTAATATGTCGACTATTATTGCGAATATCGCAAAACGATATAATAGGATCTTATATTCATCTCAATTCGTCCTACGTTCCACTAAAGTTGCGAAAGAAAGTCTGGGACACTCTGTATAATCATTACAGAGTAATGATTATACAAGATGTCCCAATTGTTGTGATTTTAATTTATACTGATAGATTGTTTGAACAATTTAGAATTAATCCTTATTAATCGAAAATATCGAGGGAAGTCATTATTTATGGCGACTTTTCAATTTTCAACATAATATATCTTTTTGATTACAACCCATAATAAAATTCTGTTAAAACAAAGTTCACTTAAAATTGCAGAGCAACAAATTTTGTTATCCGTTTAGTCGTTTGAAATTTAGTTTGAGAAAAACTTCTGTTTCAATGTCAAAAACTATTGTTTGTATTTTAAAGATTATTGGTGCCTCAGCGTTTTCATTGAGGAAAAATTAACTTTAAATTTACTCACAGAACCTGTAAGTACAAATTAAAGTTACCAGAACTAGGACACACACTCTATAGATGACTATATAGAGACAAAATTCATATATGATCTTTTTTCATCGGAATTTTAAAAATAGCACCTTATTCATAAGAAATACGTATAAAAATTATCAACTTTAAATACAAATATTTCATCTCTTAAATGATTAATCTATTTTAATTATACAAAGAGTTAGATAATATTTCATTGTGTATACAATTAAATTCCCACAAAACTGTTTCATGATACAACTTGATAAACACTAATGTCGGAACTAATAGGACGTCCAATTTATCCTTTTTTTAAATTAAGAATATACGAAGTTTCTCTCTGTCTCCTCCGCCCCCTTATTTTCCGGAAAAAAATATATTTTTTTTATGAAATTCTATTGCGTGCAAGTTAATTACAGGGATAAAATTCCAAATGCTCTCATTTGTCGGAACCGTGACTGGCAGAAATCGATCATGCGTGCTTTGCGTGAATATTGATACGCGAACATTCTCGACAGTTCGAGAAAGCCCAGCCGCGAATTTCTCTAGGACCAAGCTGCGGGTCACGACCGTTCCCATTCACAGAGGCGCATTAAATGCGCCTTACGACTCGTCCGACATCACCTGGCGAGTGCATGTATTCGAAGTACGCGGCGACGAAGAGTGGGCTCACCAGTTTCGTACGTTCGGTTTCCTATGGGGCACTCTTTCAACGACGCCTCTCTGCTGGTACAGCGAGATCTTCGTTTCATCCCCACCTGGTTCTTCCGGTACTTCCTCCGATCCGGTATATATATAGGTAAGGCCACAGCCGCAAATATATGACAGTGTATACCGGGTCGCTGTGGTGAGCTGTGCGCGAAATAAGAGACAGGAAAAGGATCGGCGGGTCCGACCGTGTCCTGGATACCAGCATGGAGCCCAAATATGTAAGAAATTAAAGCGGGCAAAAACCGTTCCACGCTGTTCACCGATGTCACGGGAGAAATTGGTACAAGAGCAGAGCCTTGCGTGGTGTACGACCAAACACTCGAAAGTGGCCTCTCTTATTAATGGATTCTTTTTCGTACAAATTTGCGGTCAAATGACATTTTCGTGATAAGGGATTGACATTTTCGTACTCTTATCGGTGTTTGTATAAGAATATCGAATGCTTTGCAATAACAAAATATGGAAATTAACAACATCAGAATTTCCCTTCGAAATGAAAACGAATGAATGATGTGTGCGCACATAGAAAAATATCATTCTATTTCTAAGAAAAATTATTACTCAGTTTACTTATCTTTTTTTAAATATCTTTAACGAAGAATATCTTTTTAATAACTGTCTTAAAATAGGCTCATCACAAATTTTGGAAAATAAATAGTTGAACATTTATTTATGTGAAATATAAAATTCATTCACAAAAATAAATTTTTACAGAATGAATATATTTCACAGAAATAAACTTTACATTTTACAAATAAATTTTTAAATATTTTTTCTTAGTATTCAAAAAAAGAATTTAGAATTTAAAAGATAAAGTTTATTCGTCTCTATGTAATAAGTAAACCGAATTTTTAATTTAATTACTATTTTTTATTAAAAGGCCAAACTTATTGAGATTCAGAATGTATTTTGAATAAATTTGAGGCTTGTCAGATAAACATATATAATAGATTTGCAAATATATAAATTTATGAAACACTTGAAATAAATTTATTTGAGTGTAGTATATATTTTTTGGGTGCGGAAAGTATAACAGAATTTGTGTTAATTTTTACATTTTCCGTAAATATTATTCATTCGTCTCAATTTCGAATAAAAGTGTTTGTTGGAATAAAAATAAAACTTAATGTTTCATTTTTAACATTATTACAGATAAAAGCCTTCATCCTTGCGAGTATCCTATCAGTTAGTTTTGCTACTTTCGGACATGAACAGTGAGTTACAATCAGAATTCTGATTATAATCCCGTTAATTGTATGTCATTTTGTAAACACATAAGTAAATCTTTTGTTGTAGCACAATACAATTATTCACCGTAATTCATTGTTACTTATACGCTGCTGCAAAGACTCGCGTAGTATATACTTAACGTTTTAACGACAGAATGCGATCATTTTAAGAGCGCGTGGCAAGTTTAGAACAATGTAGTGTGAGAGAAACGCCGTAAAGTTGCTGGCCATTACCTTAAGAGGTGTGTTAATAAGAAACCGTTTCCTCGATTTAAACACACTTTTCATATTTCAGCGTGCACATAAGGATACATGTGCCGGAGATTGTGCAGCACCATGATAAGAAAGTTATAAAGTATGAAGATCACGGTGGGGGTGGTGGTCATGGAGGCGGAGGAGGTGATGATCATCACATAGAGATCTCCGGTCCTGGAGATATCGGAGGTGGACACGGTGGTGGTTTTGGAGGTGGTTTTGGAGGTGGTTTCGGAGGAGGTCACGGTGGAGGTTACGGAGGCGGCGGTGGCTTTGGCAGCGGTTTCGGAGGCGGTCATGGTGACGGAGGTGAGAATGAATCGTATCAAAGTTATATTGCATATTCTATTTTTATATTATCACTTTCTGATAGATTTCTTATGGCATTTTTATCTTGTTTCAATATAAACAATAATATTTCCCGAAAGAACGCGATATAAAGGAAAGACGTGTGCGAAAAAGACAGAGAAACGTAAAATGTCAAATATATTGTTTCTATTACAATTTACACATATGAACGGCAGTATCATCAAATGCATAAAATTCAAAGATCACTCGTCATTCATAGCTTTTACTTATCTCTGGTTTCATCACGACGCGATGACGTGAGCGGATCGTATGGTTAATTTTCTAACATGCACCGTAGCGAAATTTTTCCAAACCGGTCCGTTTCCCTCTCACTTTCGAGTACCGAGAAAGTTACAAACGCAATATAGCTACTGAAGGTGCCTCGTAATCACAGTCGTGCTACTTTGTCGATTAAAGACATGCCGCATGTGAGAGGGAAGAAGAGCAGTTCGAGATTGTCTATCTCGGCATATTTAGTGAATGTACATTCGTGAGAAAATCACGGAGATTCGTTACTTTCGCTTCTCCCATTGTTCTTCATGACACCGTTTCATAAATGTAATTAAACGCGAGTGTGGTTTTTAAATATGTATGAATAGAGAAAAATGGAAGTAAAACAGCGTAATGCGGAAGTCATAATTTTCAATAGGTGGACATGGAGATATCATCATAGACCATGGTGGTGGAGGAGGAGGTGGTGGCTACGGAGGAGGTGGCGGCCACGGAGGTGGTGGCGGCCACGGAGGTGGTGGCGGCCACGGAGGTGGTGGCGGCCATGGAGGTGGTGGCGGTTTTGGCGGTGGACACGGTGGTGGTGGAGGTGGCAATATCATCATAGAGCACGATGATCACGGAGGCGGCGGTAGTGGCGGCGGTGGTTATGGTGGTGGACATGGAGGTGGCGGCTTTGGAGGTAGTCATGGTGGTGGTGGTTATGGCGGCGGCGGCGGTTTTGGCGGTGGACACGGAGGTGGCGGCGGTGGCGATATAATCATTGAACACGGAGGACATAGCGGCGGTGGCGGTTTCGGCGGTGGAGGTGGACATGATGGTGGCGGTTATGGAGGTGGTGGCAGTTACGGAGGTGGAGGCGGTCATGGAGGTGGTGGTGGTTATGGAGGTGGAAGCGATTTCGGCGGCGGACATGGCGGCGGTGGTTATGGAGGAAGCGGTGGCGGCGGTATAATCATTGAACATGGAGGACATGGCGGTGGTGGCGGAGGTTTTGGAGGTGGATTTGGAGGAGGTCATGGTGGTGGATACGGAGGAGGTGGTGGACATGGCGGCGACTTCGGAGGTGGTCATGGAGGTGGATATGGAGGTGGTGGCGGATTTGGTGGCCATGGAGATTTTGGAGGTGGATTTGGAGGAGGACATGACATAGGAGGCGGAGATCACCACTTTGATTCCAGCGGTCACGGAAACAGTATATCGTCTGGTTTCGGTAGCAGGTACATTAACATTAAATCAATTGGTCGCTAATAATGATTAACTTAAAGAGGTAGTGGAATTTTGGGGAAAACATGAGAATATAAAAGAATTGTAAAATTTATATTATATCTCTTTCAGCGGACATGGCGGAAGTAGTTACAGTTCCGGCGGTGGCTACGATTCCTATTCGAGCGGTTACGGTGGTGGCGGTGGAGGCGGTGGTGGGGGCGGCGGCGGACACGGTGGCGGATTCTCCGGTTATCACAAGAAGAAGAAATAAGAGTGATTGTGTTGTGACTGATATATTATATAAAATGTGGAATGGAGACGCTATATATTTCGGATTGACCGATGTAGATCAATCCGGAATATCCTTCACAATGATAACCGTCGTCACTTCAACGATAAGATCCTCATTTTGATTACGATGACAATTAATCAAGTTAGATACACGATAACGGTGAATGGTCTCTCTTTTTCATCTTTCGGCGAATCAAGTCATTTAAGTTAAAACTTCTTGTCGACAATGAAATTATGTTTTCAATGACTTTTGACGAACAATATTAACTGGAATGTATTGAATGCAATCATTTTGCTAATTTTACAGTAAATTATTACGCAACAGACGAACATGTAACCAGATAACAACAGATGAGACTTGTGATGAGGCATATATTATAGAACTTCTTAGAATGGATTCTGATCGAAATTATTTCGTGATTCCCCATTATAGATTTCTATTATCTTTTTTACAAGAAACGAAATTTTTCTGATTAAAATTATTTCCGAAGTGTTCCATAATATATTTGCCCTGACACACATATAATCGAGATTCATATTCTTTCACAAAACAATATATCGTAGGAATGACGATTACAGACTGACTACATTTACTTATTGTGACACTAAGGTGAGATCAATGCAAGAAATAACTCAAAATTTAACAAGTTGCGAGCAAGTTGAACGACCTCCTAAAAAATAATTTGAAGCACCTAAACCAGATTTTGTGATAAATGCTATCGAGTGTACATCATTATAATTTTTAAGTACGATAGTGTTTATGAACGTATTTCTATACCTCATTGTTAAATCCGGCACATATTTCAATTTAGACTATCACGTGCCTTACTCACTTCAGCACTTCAGCAGTTAGCGCGCATGCAATTGCGATTCACCTATCTGAGTGATTCACACTCAAAGCAACATGATGTTATGTTTGTATGTATGATGTGTTTGTAAATAGAGCATTATGTTACGCGTTTTCAATAAAGTTTTTATATGTTTTTAATATGTCATTTTGCTTCTTTCCTTGTGTTTAATTTTTCTTTTCTGACACACGGTTAAATTAATGAATCCTTTATAATTATGCGCACAGAACAAAGATTTTTATGTATCAAACGAAAGAGCCGTCGTAAGATTGCCTTCGTCGATAGACATATTGCTTTAACAGGCTTTGGATGCCTGAAGAAATAAATTATATTCATGAATTTTTTTAATAAATCAATTTGTAAGTTGGCATATTCATCATGTAAGTACAAAGAAATACTAAAAATTAATGGTTGTTTGGAAATGTACTTTATATTTTAAATGCGTCTATCTCGAAATCTTTTTTCCTAAATCAGCGTTCAAATTTTTTAATTGGTTTTAAACTATTCTTGGTTCTTAAACTTTTTTTGGTTTTAAACATATTGTTAATACATGTATCCTATATAACATTAGATATTTTCTGTATATACACATATATGTTCCATTGTGTATAAATAACGTTCTATATTAGGTGCGCAAATTTGTGTTTTTGCATTTAATCAATTATAACTTTACTTTAAATTCAAATATTTTCTCGCCGCTTAATGAGTTTTGAAGCACTAATTTTAAGATTTAAAATGCGCTGTATAGCTTGATGAAGTTGACAATATAATCTTACCAAACAATATCGAATAATATCGGACAAGTAATATATCAGACATTGCATTCTTCTTGTTTTTTAACAGAAAAAAATTCTGCCGAAGCTGCAAATGTTATTTGTTCAGCTTTGAAAGAAAGTGCTGTAACGTATAAAACCTGTAAAAAGTGTTACCAAACGTTTTGGAGTGATGATTTCTGTCTAACCGATGAAGAATGTTTGGGAGTATCTAAAAAATTTGATGGTGTGCTTGTGAACAATCGTTGAATAAAAAGTCCACTCAGATTCAAGACGAGCTTGTGTTACTATTAGGAATAACTCGCAAATGAATTTTCGTTCGCTGGGATAAATTATCCCGATAATCTGGGAAAAATTAAAAAAAACTAGGCTAATGAAATATTTTTCAAATATTTGGAAAATTAACATATTTATTAATTTTTTATAAATGAAAACTGAATTTCTTAAAAAAAAGTACCGAATTAATTTGCGCACTTAAGGTCGGTTCTACATTAGTTGCAAATCGCAAGATCGTAAGTAAATTTATCAATCACAGTCGAGCGTTCTTCTTACGGCCAAAGAAGAATTGACTGTGATTGATCAATTTTCTTGCAACCTTGAGACTTGCAACTAATCTAGAACGACTCTAATACATGTACATACATTTCATATACATGAATTAAATATATATTATGGTATATTTTAGGTGTTCTAATTAGTTTTGAACGATTTCTTGCAAAGAAAACATGTTTATTTTAGAGAAAGGTTTAATTATATTTTATTCAAAATATTTTCTATCAGTAGCTATAATTTTTACCCACTTTTCTGGCAATAAGTGAATTTTGCGATAAAAAAATGTTTATCCTTCGAAGCAATCCATTCATCGAGGCATTTTTTCTTCATATGTTTTGAAGTGTTGGTCAGCAAGATCCTGCTGCATCAATCGAAATAAGTGATAATCTGAAGGAGCATAGTCTGGTGAATACGTCGCGTGTGATAAGACTTTCTAGTTGAAGTGCCGATAATGTATCTTTAATTACTTTTGCAACGTGTGGTCGAACCTTATCGTGCAACCAAATCACTTTGCGTTTTCTTTGAACTATTATTGAATGTTTCTCGTTCAAAACACAATTTAAATAGATTAATTGTTATTGATAATATTCATTAATTGTTATTGATAATGCTTAGTAGGGACTGTTTGATTTGATTTCAGCAACTCATAATACACGATGCTTTTCATATCCTACCAAATGCATAATAAAACTTTTATTTCCATAGATGTTACGTTTTGGAGTTGATGTTGATGGTTGTCTTGGACTTACTCACGACTTAAGATTATCATAATAATTCCATTTTTATCGCCAGTTATAATAGAGTTATATATATATATATATATATATATATATATATATATATATATATATATAACGATTTAATATATAGTTATAATTTGATATAAAAACTGTTTCTTTTTGTGACGAGAAAACAATGAAATATAAATAGTTAAACGATTATGAATAGCTAATTCATGTGGAATTCATCTTCTTTTTTAATCTTTCTCGTCGCGTGTAAACGATTAGAAACGATTAGAACGATTGATTTACCAACATTTAATGCTTTAGTTAATTTTTAAAGCGTTTGAGCTGAGTTTTCATCCAATAATGCCTGCAATTCGGTATTTTCGAACTATTTTAGTTGTCTTGAACGTTTTTTGTTTTTCAAATCAAAATCATCACTTTTGAATCGTCGAAACTAGTACTCACATGTTTTGACTAATGGAGCAGTCTTAGAATAAATTTCTGAGATGAATCAGTGAGTTTCGGTATCTGTTTTCTTCGAATTAAAGTAGTAAAGTAATAATCCAGTGAGCAAAATATAAAAAATAAAACTTTTAAAGAGTTCTCATTTGAGAGTATAAGTCCCGACAAAGTCATCTAGTAGAAATCATAATGACACAATGATGTTGGCTAATGCGCCGTTTTGAAAGGACATAAAGATGTCATATGAAATGAGCTCTTAAAGACCTCTTGAATATAATGTAATATTAATGAGCTCTTTAAGAGTTCTTGAATGTGAGTTTTTCTGGATAATCTGAGACATGACACTGCTCTTTCTAAAATGTGATTGTAACGTGTACAATGAATAAAGAACATAATAAAAGAGGCAGATTACACATAATTTATTTTCTTTTATTTTATAATGTATAATAAATTGTAAATATATTAATAAATATATTTTGTACATGTATTATGTGCATTTATCATGTAATAATATATTATCTTTATACATTTATCATGTATATTTATCATGTACATTTATTATTAAATACGTTAGTTTTGTTTATTATACTTCTTTTCCGTGAGAGTTAGTATGTATCCTGTATGCTGCAACCATATTTTTATAATATTTTGGATGGTGTGGTGAGACGTTTGTTGCCCGTGTATATTCATTATTGTATTTGCAAAATAATGTTTATTATTAACCTACATTGCAATAATATTTTTAATTTGAAACATTAAATATTGTAAAAGAATTTGAATGAGTATGTTTAATGTGTGACAGATTATAAAAGAAGAAATAAATGTATATTTAAGGCGATGTTGAAGCTGAAAACAAGTTTTACCGACAGAACACTGACATTTTTCTGCAAAGTTTACGTCGTATTACACAGAATTATACATAAAAGTTTTACGCAATGAAAGTACGTGCAAAAATAAATAGGAACATTGCTCGACGAAAACAAATAAAAAAATTTTAATGTAAAATCTCAAGCTGTCAGTTAGAGTAATATTTGCCTAATCAAAAAGTTCCGCAGCTTGTACATACCGAAAGTGTGGATGCTCCAAACAAAAAAATTTTGAAGAACATTACTCTATCTTCGCATTTGAATTTGGAAGCTTAAGAATATCGAAAAAGTTTGTAGAAAGGATTCTACATATCGTTAGGTTTTCCGTTGAATATGGTAAAACGAAGTAATATACATTCATGTAAGTTCTATGTATACAAGAAATACGAAAAAGAAAGCGCGATGTTAGTGATGATCATCTCTACATTTTCGACATTGTTCGAGTTCGTCATCGACTCTATACTTAAGGTTAATGGTGTCTCACAACAGATCTCCTGGTTGATAATGTCAGAAGCTAAAAAAACACTCAAAATTCTTGTATGTTATATCTAAATAAAAAGAAATTTTATGTGTATTTTATGTATGAAATTTTATGTATAATATTTGGAGAAATCTATAAAATCTTTATTTATTTTAAAATTTTATTTTATTTATTTTAAAATAAAATATAATTATTTTATTTATTTTAAAATAAAATACAATTTTATTTTATTTATTTTAAAATAAAATAAAATTTTATTTTATTTATTTTAAAGATTAATATATAGCCAGAATTAATTCAAAAAATTAATTGTATGTTCACACATACACACAATTTAGTTTCTAACGAAATAAACTACTATATTATTTTTACAGCTATGTGTTGATTGTCAAGGGAAAAGATGAGTTTTCGAGGTATTATACAAGTATTATGCAGAAGTCATCGGAAGCATCAGTTTATACAAATTTTTTGTTTTTTTACAATTGACATGCAAGAATTTTTAGCATGTCTTTCTTTGGTTCTGATATTACAATACAACACAACTGTGGTGAGTCACCAGAAATCTTGAATATATTAGAGTACATAGAAGAACTTACGCAGTAAAATGTAAGCAGTAAGCAAATTGACTAATTATAGTCCAGTGTTCCTCCATCGTAAGGAAAATAATGGACTAGCAAGCTATCTTAACTTTCAGATTCTGATGAAATAATGACATCGTTGAGATCATGAGTTCTTTAAATGTTCTTTTTGAAGAATTCATTAAGAACTCTACCCTGGTAAAAAAGTTGATAGAGAACGATTGAGAATGATAGAACGATAGAATTTCTATCAATTTGTACTATTTTCTATAAACTCTATCGTTCGCAAGCGTCAGTATTAGCGAGCATCAGATATAAATCCTATCGTATTTTATCTGGTTCTATAAGAATCGGGTTCTATTTGTATTATATAGGAAACTGACGATAGAAATTCTGTCACTATCTATTGTATTCTATCGTATACGATAGAATACTATTCGCATTTGTGAATTCACGAACCAAAATCCATATTCAAAACGATAGAAAACGATAGAACGATAGAATTTTATTCTATCGTTCTCTATAAACTTTTTTTTATCAGGGTAAGAAATAATATCAATAAGTTATCTTTTTGCAAGATATCTATAAACAAATATTTTAATGATGTCTATAGATGTTTTACAATCATCACATGATAGACGTAGTTTGCCCGGCGCCGTTCTGTGTGTGAGTGGACCAAGACAAAAGCTTACGGGCTCGAAAC